TTTTTTAAATGTAAAAAGTGTATTTTTGTTGAGTGTTTATATATTGCATCCAATATAAGTTAGTATGTAAATTTACACGTTACAACATTCAGTTAAAATATTTAAACACAATGCATGACAGGTTTTAAAACACGTACTGCCTCATTACGGGAGTAGAATTACGTCAGTAAATGGAGGGGTCGTGCTTCCGTTTTAATCTCGATTAATCGCCAATACCAGATTTACGTGGCCTGGACAATTTCATGTATTGGTAGAGATACGCAGCTCAAAAGAAGCCGACTTGTGTATAGGTTCCTATTCATAGTTAAAATAAATTAAAAGTAACACTCGCAAATTTTCCAAAACATGCTACTTCGGATTTGATGTTACTAAATGGTGTAATAAATAATAATTGACCTTCAATGTACGATATCTTTGACATTTGATTATTTATAATCTGCTTCTCATAATGCTGATCACGAAAACAAGAGATTTGGGGCTTTATTTAAGAATGTTGTATACACGCCTTTACTGGTGATTAAAAAAGTGGAATATGCGGTTTTAAACTAGGCAGTGAATTGAAAATAAAAATTATATCTCATAGTATGTAAAAACATGTTTAGTGATCAATTTAAGAACCTAATGTTCGCATCAGTGGTTTCAAAAACATACATTTTCTAAGAGCTAACATCATCCATGGTTATTAATCTGGTCATGTTGTTAAAACAGCATATGGATAGAAAGTTTTCCCCTCTTGCTGAAACTCCATCCACATCTATTAGTCATTCTTAAAATCGTGAGCTGCATAACAGATTTATCAATACCACTAATCATAAAAGGGTGGCAGACACTTTAACACCCACATCGTGTAGGTTTAATTTATGTCTGAGCTCAAAAACTATTTATTACCAAATCATCTTTAAATGATTCGCAAAAACGCCATTTGTTGTTGCTGATGTAATGTTATTATTAATGAGCCATATGTGAGTCATTGCTGATATCACATTTAACATTTCTAGACATGCGGTAGTCGTGTATTTTATTTCTCCCTTATTTCTGTCCAAACCTGTTTTATGAATTCCCAAGTTCTCATTAAAGTGCTTCTACATAAATGCTTCTATAATATGTGAACATGATTTGAAGCTGTTTACGTTTTGTCTCCTCTTTTCATTGCTGAAAATATCGTTTTGTTGTTTTCGATTGAGAAAACAAAAGTCACGCGAAGTGACAGCAGTCGGCAATAAAACATTTTATTTCTTTCGAAATTGGCTCAAACAAAAGCCTCAACACATTTTACCGTCATTATGATTGCATAATGGTAGAAACGAGACGGGAAAGTATTGAAACTTTAATAAACAGATGACAATTAAGCCACATATATCATTAACAAACAGATTGTGCGGCTCACAATTTCCATATGACCACATTCGGCTCAACATAAATCAATTCTTTACAAGTGGCCGATGGAAAAGGCCGAAGGATAAATATGCTGACCCAATTATTTGTTTTAAATATATGTACATAATTGTGCCTACAACTCGAATGTATCACCTTGATGGCGTTCCCTCTGGTCAGAGCTGGCATAATTGCCACCCCAATGGGCAAAACATTCCCGGAAGTTCAACTCCACCTCACTCCACGGCCAACTGAAGTACTCCTTGCTTTTGTCCTGTGCCGCGAACTTGGCTGTAATTGTGGGTGATGGAAAGGTCGTGCAGTTAGCGCTTCTTGGCTTTATGAGTCAGCCTTCTTTTATGCAGTAAGTGAAAAAACCAGAGTTGGAGGACGTCGACGTTTGCTTTCCGCTACCCAAGTGTGTGACGGCAGAGTTCCCAAAACGTGACCAGCATGGTAGTGTTTAGGTTTTCCATTGCCCTTCGCTGCTTAGCAACTAACGGTAACTAAGCTAACGACGCAAGTCGGAGAATTGAATTGGAATTCGAGAAGTGTGCCTTTATTAACTTCCGACAGCTCTCAATTCTTTTTTGGTGCTAGCCTTTTTCACTTTGTTGAAAAACAACAACTTATCACTAATTTGGCAGCTCTCGCTTAACGCAATTTTAACTTAAATACATTTTTTTTTTGTATCTACAAGTATGTATTTCTTTTACTTCTTATGCTTCTTACAAGTAGGAGAGCAAGAAGAGTAATCGAGAGTGAGTCACTTTAGTCGAATGGCATGACTAAAATAGCAAGAGAGATAAAATGTACTTCCACCCATGATACTACAATGATGAGGGAATTGGAAATAATTCCTTTGATATGAGAAAACTTACAACTAAAAACAGCACATACAAATTCACACTAAGTATAAGTATAAATTAAATGAGTCAATTTTTGTGTTCGCTACAAAGTTGTATGACTTTATTGATGGACAATAATTTTGGACAATTTTCCACAATTGGACAAATATCCAAAAATGTTGAAGTCATTGAAATGTTGGTTTACAAGACTCGAAATTAATATTTTCAGTTGTGTGTCAAATCACACTTTGTTGTTCTTTCAGTCATTTGTCGATTAGTAGACCCAGTTTGTCGATTGGGTCTACCCACAATTATCTAAAGGTTCTGTGTTTATTTTTAATTGCGAGCTCATTCTAAGAATAATTGAATTTATGCCCACAATTATGTACATATATGTACTATATAGCTTAATATTCAATCGGTTTTTCGATTGACAATTAACTGCAAAAATAAAAGAAGTAAATAATTATTTAAACATGTTAAGAGCTGTATTCGGATTGATAACAACCGAGGGCAAACTACAATTAGAAGCAATGGGAATGTATTCATTAAAGCTAAAAGAACCATCAACAAAAGATTGCGATAATATATATTGCTATATAGATAAAGTTTTCATATCGTGTTGATCATGTAACTGCAATAAAAGACGCATAGTAAAATTGTGTGACAAATGTGTTTACAAAATCGCGTGGCATCAAGATTTTATTTAAGGAATTTCTTCGTAAATCGAAAAGTATGCGACAGCTTGCTGTCTGGCAAACATACGAGCCAGCAATAAATGCCATGAGGTTATTGATTTAAAGTCATAAATATTACCAAAAATAGCTTAACAGTCTCAATAAAATTATATATTTATGTACTTTTTACAATTTAAACAAATGGCGCTGTGGGCCGAATTGTGTGCTCAGGTGCAGGACAAAGGGGCGGGGTAAATGACTGCGAGGTCATTGTAGGCTCCAGAAGCGAGCAAAGCCATTAAGAGTGTATTCACTTGTACTACCAATAAAAGCATGAATGCGTAAGCTTGTTCACAATAAAAGCCAATACAGCCTACCAGTATCACCTACCAGAACATGCAAACGATTAGATACGACCTTGCGGAAGTGTCTAATGGCTTTTGTGTTTGCACTCGGCTCAAGAGTATGTTCTGATTAAGAAAGTACGTGGAATGATAAAAAAAAGTTTAAAAATCATGTAAACAATAATAATAAAGTGACAATTGTTGCCTACCACAATTTGAAAATAAATGCCGAAACATAGAAGTCGGAACGAACCATAAGAGCGTGATATCAAAACCAATTGCTATTGTTCCGCTCTCACGCTCTCTCCAACTCTCCCTCTCTCTGAGGGAGTTACTCTCTTTTGGATCTTTCGCAACAACGTTTTGACTATTTATGGGCATGTTTTCGTTTCGTTCGCTTGCGAGCGCAATGGATTTTGTTATCATTTCCTTTTGTTTCATTTCATCAAAAGCAATGACTGTGGCTTTCTATTCACGATTGGTTAGCTCAATATTTAGTGACGAAGTTTGATAAGAATGTGAATGTATTTATAAAGGTATAGTAAGTGCGATTAATGTTCGTTCTCGCAATTATTTGTTTGTGGCAAATGTCTCGACAAATATCTGAACACTTGTCTATGCAGAGTCACGTAAGGGTTTTTCAAAGTTGCGTGCGATTTCGATGATTGCCAAATGCCCTGGAATTTACCATTATTTGGTTGCAAAGTTCAACTCCAGTTCTTTTACATATGTATGTATGCATGTGGAACCGAAACCAAGTAGGAGAGAATGCTGCAGCAGAGCAAGCCCGACAGTGAAATACCCTATATTCAAATAATTGGTGTTCAACTGGCCGCGAATACTCCAAGTGTTAAGACACAAAATACATAATATATTTGTTAATATATATGTATGTTTGCTAATTAATTGGTTAAAGAAAAATATTAGTTTTGACTGAAAAAAAAATAAAGTTTTTAATCAGACTATTAAAATGTCAAAAAATGTAAGCACGAAACGTATTTTTCAGCTCTGTTTCGAATTCTGTAAACTTTTTTTGTAACAACAGAAGAGGTAATTTTTTTTTGTTTATTCATGTGTATTTTTTAAGCAACTTGAAGAGACATTTTGTTATTTTACAAAATTCAATTGCTTTGCGGGCCAGTCAGTGATTATAAATGGCCACCCATTACCGTCTAATTCTCGCTCGGCACGTGTGTGTGGGTGAAAAAATCGCATTAACGTTGCCTCTGGCGGCAAACGCAGACGATTGATTTTATGGGCCAATGAGTTGACATCATTTCCAACATCAAAATATGCATCATAATTCGCTCAACAAAAAAAAAAACCGTGCCCATGTTTATGCTGGTGCTGGTCAGCCGATGGACAAGCGAATTAAAAACGCGTCGATTATGCCGCAGGGACGCGGCTCACATGGCGTATGCGTAATACGAGACAGATGACGACGCCTCGTCTGTGTTCAAAAGGTGCGGTGCGGACAAAATGGCGGCGCATGTTTGTCATTAATGGCCACCGACCAGCAGCACGCAAATTACCTAACATCGATTGAGAATGGGGTTTGGGTAGACCTGGGTGCACTAATAGCCCACCCACTCGAGTGTTAGTTCAATAACCTCCGTTTAGAAAAGGAAAAACAAGCTTCGTTCTAGTTTCAATAAAAAAAATGCTTTGCGAACTTTGTAATAAAAAAATTGTATTGTTTCTTTCACTATTTGGCGCTTTACTAAATTTTCCGTTTCCCATTTTCCTTATCCTTTCAGAGCAACAACAACAAAAGCGCCGGCGTTTCCATCCGCTTCGCAATCTTCGCCGTATCTTTCGCCGACGCACCATTAACAACGCCTCAGACAGTGCCGCTGGCGCTAAAGCTGCAGTCACTTGCCAATCGCCAGGATCTTGCAGCACTCTGCCACCGCCTGCAAGCAGTTCCAGTGAAAAGAATTTGCGCAGCGTCACGCTATCGGTCTCAACAGCGGCAGCCACATCGGCCTCCTCCCCAGCATCACCACTCACTCATCAGCAACTGCAGGAGAGCTATCAGACCCAATCGCTGCCCAAGTCCAAGTCTTACGGGGCCCACCGCGATGAGCTGCTGAACGTAATCCTGGGAAAAAAGAAGGCGAGCAAGCACATCCACCACGGGGAGCAATCGGAGCCACAGCACACTGAAATGTATAGCACCACCTACCATCAGCAACAGCAACAGCCACGCTATGCGCAACGCCAATCCCTGGGCGTGGGTGTCTTCCCCGATGTAATGGGGCGCAGCTTCTATGCCGAGCGCCAGCATTTGCGTAGCGTTGGCGATTCCTCCCAAGAACTAGACCTGGACAGCAGTGGAAACGAGACGGCGCAGCCCACTGTCGGTGCCTCCAATGGCGGGGACATGTGCGATAGTCAGCGCAGCCTAAGCGAGGGTCGCCTGCTGGACGGGTGAGTTGCTATTAAAATATTGCTTAAGCCTTCCCCACTAATTCTCCTTGACTTTCTCGACAGGGATTACACGCGCGAAGTGCTCTCTCAGTCGCATGACAGCGTCTTTTCAGAATCAGCCACAGCCAGCAGTCTATCCATTGTCCTAAAGGTGAGTTGATCAGCTCTTGAGATTCTTCGTCCTCCCTCGTCCCGATAAAACCATAATACGCGAACATGAGTCACCGGCTCCTCCCCCCTCATCACAAGTACAAAAGCCTCCAGCAGACATTTTAATTGAAGCGACATTAAAGTAAATTACAACATAGGCGACCCCTAGGGAACGACTCATACTATACAAGTATTTGATGAGCATTGCTCAACACCCATTGCTCATTGTTGGTTTGTAATCAATTTAAATTGATTTTAATCAAATTCAGTAGCATGTATTGTGTTTTTAAATGAGTATGCGACTGTTATTTCTCTTGACGATTAGGGGTCGCCATACGCGGCACTGCACAATATTTTATTAAAGCCACTGCCATTGTTGTGTTGCCCTTCTATGGGCAAGTATCTAAGCATTGTTAATTGGCTGCGTAAAAAAAAAATGAAATGAAATCTGTGATTGGGAATATGAATTGGATTCCCTTCGCTTGCCACCAATTAATTCTGATAAAGGTTTTAATATTAACTATGAATATACATGAAGAATCTGCTTGCTATATATATATATGATATACTTGTAAGTGAGACTTGCAGCTTTCGCGAAATGGAAATATTGGCTTTTCAAAGAAAGGTTTGGTTCGCTTTATTTTCGCTTTCTAGGCTTATATTTACGAACGATAAGCAATGGGAAATGGTTTTGAGCAGATTTTTGATGTAGAACCTCTATTTTGTTGTCCTAGGGATCTATTTTAAGTCAATGACACTTATTTAATTATTGATTTGATGACAGAAAAAAGTAATTAAAAACTTCCAACTAACTACTGACCCGTTTCAATTGCAAAAAGTTTGTATTTTCTGTTTGTCTGGAATGAACAAGCTTTGAAGCAGAATAGTTTTTCTTCAGAAGCAGACACCACAATGACAACAGAAAAAGAAAAGAGAAAAACCGAAAACAACAACAATATGCATGATAAAGTTACCTAATAACATGATCATCACCAGCATCGACCAAGTTTCCACTGTCGGTGTAATCGGTGCGACTTCGTCGTTGCCCGCCTAGACATCAAAAGCGTCCAAGTCGCAACGACATGAGGCGTCTAAGTTTTGGCGAACAAACAAAGCGAAAGCAGAGGGGCAGAAAGCAGAAGCTGCAGCACGAGTCGCTTGAAAACCGAAACCTGTAGTCGTCATGCAACGCAGCCCCCCCCCCATTCCTGGCCCCCGCCCATGCCAAACTGCATTCGTAACTGCCAGCATTTATGCGGCTCTTTGCCTCTTTCAAACGCGTGGCAATTTGCGGCTTCTCCTTCGTTGGCCGCCCGCTGCTGCTGTCGTACTTCTATTGCTTCTTCTTCTTCTTCTTCTTTTGCTTCTTCTGCTTCTTACCCAACCAGTTGGTGTTGCTCGCCCGCCGCCAGCGTTGCCGTCCGACACTAGAGCTTAACACTGCATTCACTCGCTGGCTCGCTGGCTGACTGGCTCGCTGGCTCCGTGGCTCTCCATCTTGTCCGTCATAGACACCCCTCTGGCTCCTACACTGCACCCGCTTCGATAAAGCTTCTTGATTTTCCACTTTTTTCCACTTGACATGCGAGTCTGGCAGCCCGCCCCACCCCGCATCGTCCCGGCCGACCCACTCAACCCCTCAGCGTTGCGGCAACAGCTGGTTTATGTGCCAACCTGGTTAACAAATAAATCGCATTTCTTTCTTCGGTTTTTTTTTTCTTTCTATGCTATTGAACTCCGGCAAAGTTTTCCGCTAAATCAGTTTGCATCGAGTCATTTGGAAGTCCACAACGTCGTTCGTCGTGTTATGCGGCACCACTACGAGTCTTCCAAGAGTGTATCCTTACAGACATACATACTCGTATATACATACATACATATGTATGTACCTAGAACAGGCCTTAAAAAACAAAGTGTCGCACATATATAGTATTGCGGAAAGTGTGTGTGCTTGTGTGTGATGTTGGCTTAATTGTTTAATATTTAGCTTACAAAATTAACATAATGACTAAAGTGTGCATTAATTAGTAGGTTTTAGTTATAATATTTGCATATGCATTATTGTTTGTTGGTGTTGTAAGTTTTTGCAGCTATTTTAAATATCCATACAAAAAAGGATCTAGACTAAAAAAAAAAGCTCCGTTGGAACGAGAAAAAGCTCGTGCTAATAATAATATTTTTCACAAACTAAAAAATCAGGCATTTCGTTGCAATTTTTATCAGGCTAGCAAAGGTATCTCTACCTTTTCTGATATCCGTACTATTGATACTTCTGATAAATTCATGTTCCGGGGAAATGGAAAGCCACTAGCTACGTGTTGTGATGGGATATTAGGGAAAAGATTTATTAGCTTTCATATAAATATAAGCACGCATATATTTATAGATAGAGATAAGATTTTTTAGCTTTCATAGAAATAGAAGCACAAAAATATTTATAGATAATATTAATAGAGAAAAGATTTATTAGCTTTCATAGAAATACAAGCACAAATATATTTATAGATAATATTAATTGAATGCAATTAGTCTGCGTTCTCCAAGTCATGTTGTGAAGAGAAACACAACATTTCTGGACTTTCCAGTGCCAGTGTTGATAATAAATATCGGTTGATGTATTAATTGAAAAACTCTAAGGAGAAAAATCTAGTTGATGCCCATAATGGGAAAATAACCAACACCCATACACACTCAGCTATATACACATGTGTGTGCAATTTTCACTGCAAGAAACGATGACAGGAAAAAAGAAGAAAAGTAGACAATGACAATCAATAGTCTGTGCTTGTCAAGAGCGCAGCCGGTTGATGAACAGTCGACGGCGGACTCAACATGCAATGCCATTTCACACGCTTTACTTTAATTGCGCTCCCGAGTCAGGCGATGGGGACAACTGTGCTGGACAAGCCGTCAGTTGGCTAGACATCGGCTATTTGAGATGACATGCAAATTTTTGAAATGGACTGAAAAGTGGAAAGCCGAAATTGTCAACACCAATCACAACCCACTATTTTTCGGTTTTGAGACACTTCCCGTTTAGTAGTCTCGATAATTGCATAAATATCTGCATGATTGGTCGGTCGACAGATTTCCTCATGCATTTGGTAGTGGACACGTTTCCTGGAACCTAAGCAGTCTCGGCCACAGCATTTGATTGCATTTCAAGTCCACTTGTCGGCGGCATCCGCGTCAAGTTTTTGTTCGATTTCTGCACACATTGCGCCCAGTGACCAACATTCTGCAATGCTCCGTGTACGCTGAGGAATCTCTGCAAAAATATGCATCCCATGTCCATATTAGTCTGCCTAATGGTCTGCCTCAGAGACGGTAATTATTCGATAGTCCACGAAGACACAATATAGAAAAGGAGTTATCTAAAAATATTTGTTGTTAACAGACAGAGGATACTGGAGGCAACTTGGATTTTGCAATGAAGAAGCTACACTTGTATATCATAATAGCAACAGCTTTATTTAAATGAATATAATAAGTTTGATGGGTAACACAACTAAAAACATTTTCCAAAGAGAATAACCCTAAAATGTTTAAAGAATTTAATTAATTTAGCAGTTTCAATTACACATAATTTTATTGCAAATAAAAACGGGAAGCCAAATGGGAAGCAAGAAATGTAAGAAACTTAGTGACAAAAAATGACTGCAATTTCCAATATTTCTAAAATCAAATGTCTGTTCTGTCTGCATGGGATGATACATTTTCAATAATCGATATATATTAGACAACAAATTCCTTCGCTTTAATAAATAAACGTCGCATCATGACGAACAATTTAAAAATATAGGCCGCGACTTCAAAGTTTCCAGGAAAATAAAATCAATTTTCAAACAAGTCGAGCTGACTAATCGGAATACATAAATCCCGTAATGAATCCAAATTCTAAAAATGTGTTTCGATTCACATATTGTCCATCTCCAAATTGTAAATACCCGCCTGCAATATAAGATCGCAAATAGTTTTTATCCTCCTAGAGACTTTTATGTCTACACTTTAAAGTGGATTTCGGCCGCTTATCATTGACTTTTAAAAGTATGTGATTTAGTTTCTTATAATTTCAAAACAGAAATCTCTTTACATATTCTTCAGAACGTATGAATTGATATCAGACATAGAAAGGTGTTCTGTTGAATAGCTATTTCTAATCGATGATTCAAAAATATTTTGGCCAGCACATTTATTTTTATTTAATTCATATATTTGCGGATATCATTCGAAAAAATTCGCAAGCCAAATTAATCGTGAATGCTATTGTATAATTTAGTATTGAGATTGCTTTTTCATACATAGTTTAACATATGTACATAAGTATATATACAAGTATACTTGTATACAAGTATATATGTATTATCTATGTATCTAAACCTATTTACTTGAAAACTGCAATGTAGACTGCACTGCTGGCTGGCTCCATTTGTCTGGCATATGCAGCTTACAAAAGCGAAATTATGCAATTTCGCTTAATTTGACGCGATCGCTTCACCCCGACTGCCAACTCAGTTGGTCACTGTGGTTGTTGGTCGGGTGGCGGATGGCGGATGGTGGCCAGTAAGCATTGGCTTACCTGTTTTTGGCACTGCAATCGCGTGTGGGTAGCGGTGCAAGAGCTGCTGGCAATTGAAACCGCCTGCCTCGCGGTAACACACTTTTCGGCAAGCTGTTGTAATCGCCAGACTTGCGCCTCTTAACGCAAATCGACGTCATGCCGTGCCGGCATTTTGTACAGTAGGCCATTGGCCTGGCCCACTCGACATCGGTGTGTGCCAATAAATCATTGAATGTGACGCGTTGTTTACCGATTTGGCGATTGGAGTGACATGAACTTTGGATAGAGGGGCAGGTACTAGCCACGCGTAGCGACGGTTTGCTGAAAGGGTTAAGAGGTTGCCTTCTACTTGTCCTTTCCTACCTCCCTACCTGTCTCTATAATGATTGCCTATCAAGAAAAATATGTTTCCTTTGGGTATTCCCTGCTTTTTTTTGGAACTTTCCCAAATCAATGTAAAGGATGTCTTACCTGTAATATTAGTTAAAATACAAATTACGTTATGCATTGTCTACGCTCCAGAAAAAATGTAAATACGCATAATTCTGTTTTTACACGGTAGATTGGTTCCAGAAAAAATCGTGTAAAAATTACATTGATCATAGGTTATTTTAAATCATGTTTAATGGAATAATGTCGTGTAAGCATATATACAATATTTAATTATCAAACCGTGTAAAAACAGAAGTATGTGTATAAGATGTCCATTTATTAGCCAACAAACCATATTCCGTTTGAAATATAAATTACTGCAAACCCTTCGCTTGTAATTGTTAATTCTCTGTATATGCATGGAATAAGTTCATTGATCTCTTACAAGCCGTAGAGAGTTGCTCCAAAGTTGAAGATTACTCAATACGTTTTCGTTTATAATTTGCTTGTAATTAATGGCAGAGGTCTTCGACCTGCCACACACACGTACTTAATTCTCAAGGATCGTCCAAACTGAGTCTCTTAAATAAACAAACTGACTGAAGAGGAAATCTAAACGAACAGATGGCCCCATCTCCTCCGTCAGTCAACGATGTGCAACAACACACAATATAGACGATGATAAATGGGGCACAGGCAACGAGAAAGACCTTGTTCCACAAATAGTTCACCTACCCCAAATTCCGGAATGCAGGGAATGGAGAAGGAGTCTGCGCGAGCTCGTAAGTTCTTAAGATCTGGAGCTCATTGGGACATTGAACCGATTTTTTCATGTGCTCGTATACCTGCATGCTACAGAGGGTTGGATTTCCCGAGTAAGCGGCAACGCAATACCCTTGAAATCTCATTGTTGTTGTTGTCTTTATAAACATACCTATATACTTGTATTTACATTAGCAGTCCCTGCCTGCCGGCCTGCCTGCCCTGTTCATACGTACACGTATTTGTGTTTGGCTAGGTAAGAAGTCGGAGCTACATTATTATTGTTGTTGTTATTGTTGTTGTTGCCGTTGCATCTGCTGCCTGCCCTGCAGCATATCAGCATGTCACGATATTCAGTTGCACATTGCACTTCGAAGCGTTCACAACGTCTCGCGTCCTACTCGCCTCCAAGTACTCGGAGCGGCTTAGCGGAAAGTGAAATCGCTGCATCATTGCGTGCCCACATCTCGGGTTTCTTGAGATGGTGTAGTGCAACAGCAGAAACTACAATTATTTGTTAATTGACAAAAGTCAACAAAAAACATCTCATTTACATTGGTTTTGGGTATTGTCTTCACATTGAAATGGTGGCCGGAAAATCGGGTGCTCTGAAATTTCAGGGCGAACCATTCAAACTCTCATTCACGGTAAGCCAATATGGAAACTACATAAGTGTTAAATGTGGAAGCTATAATAATATACTAAATGGTTGAATATCTGCTTACGTTCTTCTTGAAATTTCCTAAATTTCCTGTATTTGGATTCGGATCGATTTGTAAAATATACTTGTTGTGAAGATAAATGGCAAGCCAATTCAAATTAAGGCGCTAGACATGAAAATGTGCCAACATTTTTATACTTACGTGTTTTTCAATGGTTCAGTGATATTTGAAATCCGATTACGTTGTCAATTCTTCTAAAATCTTGTAAGAAGAATGTTAACCTCGCCCCTAGATCACATTATATCATAAACAGATAGAGTTTAGACTCTGTGGCCGAGTAGTTAGAATGAAGATGAATAGAATGTGAAAACGTGCTATAGTCTGATCCTTCTATGTATGTTACTGGATATCTAGACCTGCTTAAGCTGTTAGCATCTCTCTTAAATAATAAAAGGATAAACCATTTAGTTAGAGATCGCTTTACAAAACATATGCACGTAAAACAATTCGAGTATGTGGCTAGGATAGCATCAATATTAGTGGATTTAAAAATAGGGTATTCTTCGAACTAAAACACACACAATACAAACTTGATACACTTTCCAAACTGCACACTTTCAACGTTAGAGCCTCAGCCAACCCATCTGAGTCTCGACTATATGGCGAGGCATCGAGATGATTGACTTTAAGCAAAATCCGTTCAAAATGAAATTGAATGCCAGTGGCGTTGGCGTTGGAGGCGGCGAGAGTCGCATCGGACGCAATTGTCTGCGCGCGCGCTTCATTTTCCGCTGGAAGAGCTGGGTAAAAATTGTGTTTTCCATTCCATTCCCATCATTGTTGTTGCACAACACACCATCGCGAACTCACATGCACAATCAGGCTTGTATGTATTACAACCACACCCAATGCCAATTTCAATTTCAGGCCGAACTCACAGATGTGCTGCGCAAGCGGCGCAATCGGCCTGATGCGTCTGATGAGGATCTCGGATTGCCGCGCAGCCCGGCGTCACCGCATCGTCGGGCGGCTACCTCACAGAGTCGCAATGTTGCCGGTGGCGTGTACCTGCAACGCGGCGGGATCGGTGCCAGTACTAGCGCTGGTGCCAGCAATGCTGGCGAAGTGTCTTCTTTAAGCCTGTTGAGCATGAACAGCACCGATGGAGAGGATACCCAGAGTCAGAACCAGAGCCAAGGTCAGAGCAGATACAACTCGCGAATATCGACTAGCTCTTCGATATCGACGAGCTCGGACATACTGCGCAGCCACCACGACGATGAAGTGGATGTGGTTGGTTTGGATCGACACCGGCTTTCGCATGCGGCCGCCAAACACAAAATGGCCATCAGGCCAGCTAAGAAGAATGTTCCTAGTCGGCAACATAGGCGAACACTAGAGGTAAGTTGCAAGCAAACACTTTTAAGCAGTCTAATAAATATGCTTCTCCATTCACTGCTCCACAGACTTCAATACCAGAGGCGAATGAGGAGCTGCTGAAGTTGGGTCAGGCTCAAGGGCAGGCTGTTAGAAATGTGCAAGGTAGGTCACATAGCATGCGTAACCAGTCATTTGTATGAGTTGCAATTCTAAATTACCATTTTCCCTGTTAAAGATGCGGATTCCAAAGCAAAGACCCGCTCGCTACCACCCGGCGTCAGTGTTAACGACAAGTCGTTCGGCGTTGGCACAAATAGCGCCACAGTTACAGAAACTATAAACAGCAGCAGCAAGCGCACCAAGACAATTGAGGTGGTTAAGAAGGACACCAGCTCCAGTTCCAATCCCAACAAGACTCACAGCATCTCCCACACGACCTCAACAAGCAGCAGCATCAGCAGTTCCAGCAGTCAGCAAACAAACTCGATTTCATCCACCTCAGTAAATGGTGCTTCATCAAATATGTTTGGGCTTCGCGCCCTCACCGCCAAGGCCAATGCGCTGTTCGAAACCCGTGGCGAATCATCGACAGACGACATGCCAGCAGAAGCAGGGGAGAGCGGCTTCTTGCGCCGACTCATGCATCGGAACTCGAAGCGCAGCATTGCCAGGGCCAATGAGGGTGTGGAGGATGTCGACTCAAGTGTGGCCAAGAAGCTGCAAATCTCTACCTCCTGTCTGGAGGCAACTTCACGGGAACCAGTACTGCTGCCAAACAAATCACGCAGTGCCACCTCGCATGAGCAAAACATTCAGGAAACGCGTCAGATAATCAAGCGTGAGATACAGAATGAGGGCAGACATGGACTTAATGCAATGGTTAGTAACTTTGGCGTGCAGCCGCAGCATCCGACATCGGTCAAGCCCAAGTCCGGTCCAGCTGCTCGTCAGCGCTACATGCCGCAGGAGCTTGGGTCTCCCAGCAGCACATTGGAGAAGAAGCCGCCACAGCCTCAGCCTATGCTATCGAGTCCTGGCAGCAGCAACAACAGCATTCTGGACGAGGCAATCATCAGTGTGACCAATTTACTCTCTAAAACCTCGCGTGGTAACGACACATTCCAGTCCACAACCATGGTGCGAGAAGTGCAGACGCAAGCGGCAAAACAACAACATGTGGCCCCCATTAAGCCGGAGGCTCACTTCGAACGCAAGCCGCGCATTGTGGGCCTAAGCGCATTCCAGCAGAAACTCTCGCGCTCCACAGACTCGGTGGGACAACATTCTAGTTCATCCAACTCTCTGGAGACATCTACAGACGAACCTTCTCCCCTGTACTACGAGGAAAAGCAGCGGAAGATGGTGGAGAAGTCGCGCAGTTTTCGAAACTACCAGGACGAGCGAGAGGCACCCAGTGCTGCCACCGGAGTGCACAACATGCCCAGTCTGCCAGACCTGTCCATTAGCTTCCGCGTACCCTCCTACTACAATGAATTGGCGCAATCGAAGGCGCCACAAACAGACCGTTCATCCATGTCCCCAATGTCTCCCATGTCGCCCATGTCTCCAGGGGCCAAGTGCGTCTCACTGGGCTTTGAGATTAATGATAACAAGCTGCTGCGTTCTACGCCAGCTAAGGCACGAGCTGAATCCACGGGTCAGTTGCAAGCATCTCCACACAAGAAGGGACATCAAACGACCACAAAGCTGTTGAACGCGACTACTGTGGTGCCAGTTCAGCTGCCGGTGCCATTATCGCCTGCACATAGCACCAACATATCTGAGATAGAGCAAAACATAGACCTCATCGTTAAATCTCCGATGGTCAGTGTGCTGCGAAAATCAGCAACAGTGAGCGAAGAGCTGTTGGCACCGTCTAGTGCTCCAGCAACGGCGGCGGTGCCTCCGACACAGCGCCCGAATGCACTGGAGTTAAAGCAAACAACCTTGCCAACTAAGGACACAACTAGTCCTCTATCCAAAACGGCCAAGATATCGAACAGTCCGCCAGCTTCCCCCATAATCATCGCTGCAGCTCCAAAAGCCTCAAGTGGAAAGTCTAGCCGTCGCAATTCGAGTAATGTGGAAACTGTAGATCAAGAAGAGCCCGGAAAGAGCCAACTTCCTGAGTTCATGAAGATCCAATTAAATCGGGTCGATCACGCTCGTCTCCTCAACAAGACTAACCACGTAGTTTTGGCGAAAAACATGCGTCCTGACTCAACGGAGCGCAGCCAAAGCACTGACGATCTAAGCATGCGGTGCCATAGGGACTCCCAAGATAACAGCAAACCCACATCGCCCAATTCCCCGGCACAGCATCAACAATCGACGCCGCAGCCGACGGAGTCGTCAACACACTTTGTAAGTCCACAGTTCGAGGCCATTGGCAAGCAGCAGCGCGCTGTCAGCGCAAACAGCGTGCGCTCCAGTTATGAGAGCAGCACGGGTGGCAGCAGCGAGGTCCTTACTCCGCGCACTCCCACCAAGGCAAACTCTCCAATCACACCGATGCCAAAGACAGCAGTGGCAATCCCTTTGCTTGCCGCCACAAAGATTGTGGAACAGAACAAGGCCAGCTCCGGCAGCAATCGTTTCTCTTTGGAGGAGCGTAAGCGTTTATTCCTTGGCGAGGAGAAATCTCAATCAGAACGAAAGGTGGCTGAAATGCGCTTCGAGCGCAAGAAGTCCATCAATGAGGAACTGCAGCGTAAATCGCTGACATCGACACAAGCCGAGCCACAGTCTCCCTCAGATCTAGGCGACAGCAATCACAATGCGGTGGTGCTGCGAAAGAAATCATTTGGCAGTTCCAATGTCAACGCCAACGCCATCGTCAATGGCAATGGACACGCTCCCACAGGCAACAGTAGCAGCACCAATGTTGTCAAGGACGATGCCACGCCCGAGCTTATGAAAGTCTTTGCACGTCGCTCCCTCAAGGTGAAGGATGATGATGTAAGCGCTCTAGCCCAGATCAGCATTAATGCGGCCAAGGCGCCGAACGTCGTTTCGCCCCCACAGCAACAGAGCATGGACAGTGACAAGGAGAATCAGTCGAATAGCGAGGAGAAGCTGGACAAGCTGACCCCCACTACTGGAACGGAGCGGAACAGCGGCAACAATCGAAATTCTGTGGCCGATTTTCGAAATCTCAACAATAATAACAATAGCAGTGCGGCCACAGCACCGGGCATACAAAAACTATCTTATTTGCCACCCATTAAGACCAGCAACGTGCGCAGCTCCAGCAACGCACCCAACACCAACAACAACAACAATAATAATAATAATAGCAGCACCAACAACAACAGCACTGGCAACATGAACGGCAGCGCAAAGGTCGGCCATGAGCGCTACTCGCTGCAATTAAAGCGCGAACGCGGCAATGTGCAAACAAGTTCGACGCCAACACATCAGCCAACGCAGGCAACAACAGCAACAGCGTCAGCTGCTGCCGCCACCGCCACCGCCACGCCCACCAAGTGCATTGAACGTTCGGCAACAGTCGGCGAATTTAAGGGGATTCATCAGCGTCGCGCCGAATGGGAGCAGCGCGCCAAAGAAGCGCTCAAATAGACTTATCGACACTGTTAACTAACAGAGTCGTTGCAGACGAGTAACCAGAGTAGCTGAGCCACACCGGCCATGTCCATGCATTAGAATAACATAGCTTGCTATCCAAGTGCTTATGTCTAGTTCTGTTCCCTAGTTTATTGTAAGCAGCAGCCGTTTAAGAATTCTGACAAACGAAGTTCCCATTAAAGGCTTAACATTAGACTGTAGAAGCGAAGAGCGCTCGCCGATGGGTTCCAACGGCTGTGGCCGATCCAAAGAAAATTTGAACGTGACACATATATATACATATACTTATATATACACAGATTTATATATACGTTTGTAATCATTAGCATATAGAGGACTCATTAATATCTACATTTCTAAAGCAACAGCATTCATTTGTCTGATTTATATAAAACCCTTTGGTTTACGATTTAATTATATTTGTGCGTTTCGTTCATTTCAAAATTAGTCTTGCGTTCTATTTTGTTGTATTTTGTGCGCGTCCAAATTCTAAAAAAAAATAAAACAAAAACATAAAAATATTATAAAATTAAACCTTGGCGACTGTGAGTAAATTTAAAAAACAAAAAATACACTGGAAATGATATTTGAAACAATTTTTAATTTTAGTTGACATTTTTGAAAATAATTTTAAGCGAATAAAAATACATTCTACTAATATACATATAAACTAAATATTATAAACAAAAGCGAGCTTTCAATTTCTCAAAAAACAATTATGATTATTTCAAAAATGCCAATTCTTGGTCGTTAATGTTACTGGCATTGCCTTAAAGAACTGGAATCATATAAGAAGCTAGCCCACATATAAATGTTATACATAGAATATATGTTTGTTAGTCGAATGGCAGGCATGAACCATACGTGTATGTATATAGTTTGAGATTGAAATAATAAATACCTAACTATACCTTTAAAAACATATACTGTTTTTCAATATTCAGAACTTTATCAAAAATATCTGTTGATTGACGCAAGTCAATTTATAGCTACATAGAACGGATACTTAATTTAAATTGGAAATAGGTCACGCTCTCGCAATAGCTTTAAAATTACAGACAGTTTTCAAAGTCTAATCTTGGCTTTATATTCACCAAGTTTTACGGCTGCTTAACAAATATTTGCAGTCGACATACTACTTTGAACTCTACAATACGTTATAACTTTAATCTAAAAAAAGCAAAAAATAATCAAAAAAAAAATTACAATAATGTCTATTAAGGACTTCGTCATGTTGAAGTACTTGTAATTCTATTTTAATATTAATAATTAATAGCTTAATCGTTACTTAACGCGGAAAAATCACAACAAACAGATTTTAAAAAAAAAACCTCCAATTTATTGGAGGACAATTGAATCCACTGTTCGACAAGCAATGCCGCGACTTAGAGAATAGAGTTTCGGGCAGAATGATTTTGTATAAGATTCTCTTCTAATTGCAGAAAATGCTGAAGAATCAAGCGGCAAATCGAAAATGTAATCACTTCTCGGATTAAGGAACACGCTTTAAGTATACAACTGGGAATGTTGTGTATCCAAGGAGAGTATGAAGATTTTAAAGATTTAAATGTAGAAAGTTGACAGTTCTAAGTATATAGAGTGAGGAGGAAATGTTATAAGAGTAAGAAATATTACTAAAAGGGGCAAAGGAAAGGGTAATCTAAAATAAATTGTATAACAAGTTAGCGGCAGCGGAATCGCTGTCATTACCAAGAAATGAAGAAGCCAACGAAGGCAGAATTAAACTATTTATTTGCTTTCATATTTATGCCAAGGCACGTATATTCGTACGGGTTCAGATATCCACTGGGCTGTAATGACCTCATCTCGAGTTATAATGAATTGCGTATCACTGCTCAGTCATCGTACCATCAATCATTTCAAATACGAAATGCTGACAACTTATTCGTAATTGCTTTACCAAAAAAGAAATAAAAATAGAAACAGGTTACAGAATAAAAGGTAAGTACATTTATACTTTCATATTGAAATTAAAAGGCAGTTGAGTAAAAGCGAAAGCAATTCATTGATTGTTTTGAAAATAATTTTAATTTCAATTTTATTTCACTAAAATTTATAGTTTCTGTCTACGCAATTAGTTTTGTGGCAATAAATCAAACATATTCAAAATTATTTCGAACATAATGGCTTTAATTGAGGCACTTTTTCACATACTTGAGTCGTCTTTTTGCCTTTTCTTAGTGCATTCCCCAAAAATATTGTTAGAAACAAACAATACGTAGCCCCAGCTGTTCTTGATTATTTTCGTAGCGAATTTGCAGAAAAAATAACAAAATAAATTACCAGAAATACACGCAAAAATACCATTTGTTCCAAAAAATTATCTACTATAATGCCTTCACCATTTTGGCAGCCAAATACAAAAATGATTTGTTTTTAAAATTGTTGAAATGCGACCTAGACATCATAAGTAGTATGTGGCTTGCATATTTAGCAACATGAAATTTCATATCATATACAAATTTTAAACTAGAGAAATAAAGAATAATATTTAGAAACCTTTACTGTTATCAATATCGAAACGAATATATAATTAAGAAATAGCTGGATGCTGGCGATCAAAACAAGTCGCCGATTTAAAGCAATTTATCTTTCCCCCCTCATGCCTCATGGTCGGGAAAAACTTGTTCTTTGCAAATTTATGAATAAAGTGAGTTCTTCGGAAATGTATGCGCAACAGCTAGATGTGACTAACTTAGTCCAGATGCGGCTAGACAAGCTGATTTATTTGAAACAGTTTAAAAATGTACGAGTATTACAGAACGAACAATCAGAAGGATGAAAATAAAATCATAGGAGTCAAGCTGTGCGAAATAATGATGGCAATGACTAAAAAAAAACACGAGTGGAATGCAGAAGTCACGTCAGCCGGCCTATAGAATACCCTATAACCGCCCAATTTCCCGTTGCAGCATTTCAACTGAAATAACATACATACTACACATATACTTAGACGTGTCATTTATAACTAATCACAAATGAAGCCGGTATCATGGAGAGTTCACAATATGATGGGGCACTATACAAAACTTATAAATAAAGGTATAAACAAAACAACAATTTTACTAGGCGTATTTTTTCCATCGCTGGCAACTGTGGCAGCTTCACAATATAATCTACATGTGGTTTCTCATAAAGTTGAATAAGACAAGCTTGCATGCCAGCTTTGGTGCCACTAATTATTATGATTAAAAAGTTATCCAGGCGGCCACGACTCTTAAAAGTTACATACATACATCATTTTCCTCCTCTATTTACTTTTTGTATAGTTTTTTAGGTCTATAATGTCTCTGACCACATATGGCTGTGAATCGGAGCATAGCTGGCCAACTGGCAAATAAAATTCCCCCAACGTGTCGGAGGCATTAATAGAATTTATTGTACACCTTTGTGTTAGGCGTTCTTGTCTTTTAAGTTTAGCTTAAATTGTTATATTAAGTTATATTATATAATCGACAGAATTATCTGGAGTTAGGATATTCTAGTATCTCGATTCACATTTCATATAACAGCTTGTTGTTAGTTGTGCTCCTACCTGCTGTACAAACTAATGTACGAGTATATGCATGGCCGTAGCGAGGGGGTGCAAAGCGGCAGCCTCCCCCCCCCCCCCTCCCACTAGATTCTGAACGGATCAAAAATTTTGCAGACAAATTTGAATTTGTACAAAAATCACGAAAAAAGACATCCATTTTATGGCTATGAAGATATAATGTTGAGAATATATACCTATATATATATATGGGCATGAAAATATTGTGTTAATATGCTCAACTTATAACTCTTTACTAGCCCTATATTTAGTGCTAAGGTTGATTTTGGGCAACGGGACAAACGGGGCAAATAAGTTGTTTTTCCGGCCAACAATTCGCTGATTTTATCGAAACCTGAGGCAATATATGTTAATGCGACTAATTTTAAAACGTTGTGCATTATTGTCTCTTAAAAATAGTTTTGGTATAACAGTTCAGAAAATGCAGTTTCAGTTCTGAACTGTCGAAACAAAATGATTTTCGATTTCTTTATCTGCCATAACGTTCTTTTGATAACTGCCCCGACCCCAGATACGGCTCCCATTCTATTTTAGCTTCTTTTTAGAAAATTAACTGGAGTTGATACTATAAATTGATTTTCAAACTGGGGGCAGCACCCATTAGAAAAATTACATATTTTTCTAACCGTTTGCACGCCACTTTATTTTTTTCGCAGCCGATATTATTCATCTAGATTTCAATCATTTTAAAGTATGTACACGTATGTACTTGTATATACGAGTATATAAAAATTTATCATTTATGTAAGAAAACATAATTTCAAAATTTTACACTCTCGATGTCGCACGGGACCAAATTTATATTAGTTCCACGATCACAAATCTTCTTATTTTTTACCAAGTTTTTTTTTACATTTTATTGCATTTGAAATTTCAAATTTTCATTATTTTGAATTTCTTTTTTCCCTATTTTTCCATATTTTTCATGTGTTTTTTGTATAGTGGAAATAATTTGATAGTAAAAAATCGCCCAAAAAAATCTTGCATCCCTGGACTAAATCCTGGCTACGCCCATGAGTATATGTATATTATTATGTATAATTGTGGCAATTATAAAATACCAGTTGGGTGCTCAAAAGACTATAAGTTATTATAATAAGTATACTATGAAGCGGCGAAATACAAAACCTGCCATTGTTGGCTTAGCAGCCAACAGCTGCTGATACCCCAAAACGCAAATACGATAAAAGCACACACACCAGAGATCGGCGCCAATGCCGTGAGGTAGCCAAATGGAGAGCAAGAGCGTCAAGAGTGAGCTCATGGATGCCTATGCCGATGCCGATGCTGATGTCGTCATAACAACTGCTGGTGGTCGGGCGCTCGTCGGCGAGTTCAGGGGATTCGTTGCGGATACAGCGACAAGATGTTGCGGATACGCTTGCTTCAGTTTGTATTGAAATCAAGAACGAGGCGGACGGAAGCGAGCATCAGAAAAGAACGCGTATGTGCGCGGCGTCTGAATCACAAAAGTCGTGAAAATCAAAATATATGCTCGTTTGAAAATACACGTATATGTATAAGAAAGAAAGTGAACATACAAGTATTTGTACACAATCGCATCCCAAACGAAGCAATTGATTGAGAGTGCCTTTCAACATGCGGGAAATTGTTAGTTGCTAAAGGAAAAAGTCCAATTCGCACTGTCCGTCCCAATCTAGCCAATCAAATTAAACTGAAGGGACTGCAACTGGAGGTACAAAATGTCCCAAATACCCACTCCGAGCACTCCGCCGCCATCGCGTCGGGCGCAGCGACCGCCGCGCATTTTTATTCAGAACCCGCACAATATGAGCAACAGCGGCTCGGCCTTGGGCTCAATGCCGCCAACAGCACAACTGCCCTACACTCCACAGACAAACTACACAGG